AGTGAACGCACACTCACCAGTGATAATTTATATCCAAGAAGAACTGAAATTATGCTGAAAACATTATTCACTGGCTGGTGCTATCTGTGACAAAATGACAGAACACTAAGAGTTTTTCAAGTTAAATTTATTCATTTTTAAAAAAAGTCTGAGCGATGTTATTTTTAAGAGATAAAATACTACTTGTTTTATGAAATTATCCTGATAGTCCTCAGTTCAGGTTTCCCAGGAGGCTGACCTTATGATGAGAATGTGAGTACAAGCAGCTTATCTGGGAGGCAAAGGGAACCTCAGTAAGGAAATGTAGCCAAAAAATTAAGTGTTACAAAGCCAGCTACCATTGTGACGGACAGAAGCTTGATCTGATGAAGAAGCTCTGGGCAAGAGTGTAAATATACATGTAAGAGTTAGCACACCCCAGGCAGGAGCGGGGGGCATATTTACAGACTCTGTCACTGGTTGAAAGCTGCTTCACAGGAGTTAATTCCCTGGCACTTCTGGCCACCACTTACTTGGGCAGGGCTGGCTTTTGACAAGAGCCCTCAGATATGTCAATGTGGAATGTACAGCCTGGGGGAACAGGTTACCAAATGCCCTTGAGTGTCATTTTATTTCTACTGCTCCTACCATGGCAAAATGATACCAGTCATTGATGTTGGGTCCCCACTTGCCTTTCCAACCCTCCCCAAACCCAAAAGCCTGGGACACTGATATTCCACCAGCCAGAGGTCATGTCAGTTGATGGCATGAATGACAGTGTAGGGCAGGTGCGGCTCAGAGTGAGGCAAATCCTTGCCAATCATGCTGAGGGGGAAAGATGACTCTGAAACTAGGAGAAACACTGAAAGATTCCCTTCCTGACCCTCCCATCAAACAAGGGCCTCCAAATTCCTGCCATATATATATATATATATATATATATACATATTATTATTATTATTTGAGACAGGGCCTTGCTCTGTCGCCAAGGCTGGAGTGCATGTTGGCCAGGCTGGTATTGACCTTAAGTGATCCACCCACCTTGGCCTCCTAAAGCGTTGGGATTACAGGTGTGAGCTACCGTGCCCGGCCCCATCTCTTCTTCTGATACCACCTTTTGGTAAGGCAGCTTCACTTACAGAGGAGGAGTCATTACACACAGCTGGAACAAGATGCGCCTCCTGGTCCTCCTGGAAACTGCTTTAGAAACTTCTCACTGCTCCAGCTTTCTGTAGCAGCTCCTGGAGGCTGGCCAGTGTCAACTAACTTCTGGAAAAGCAGTTAACCATCCCTGTATTTGCAGCCAACAAGGTAATTAATTGTGTCAAAGGGTGTCAAAAAAGCCTCCAAATAAGTGAAAATAAAAATAATGAAAATTCTTTTGGGAAAGAAAACATTTTGGGAGAGATGGAAAGGAAAGTGATTGTGAAATTAAATAGTGATATGGTAGCAACTCAATGATTACAAATTCTAAACTTGCAATACTGTCCTGAAGAAAACAGTTCAATCCATTTAGCTTGTTTAGTATACTACTACCTAGAATGGGCATCTTACTTAAAAAGAAAAAACTATTGACATTCAAGGCCACTATTAGAGTGACGATCCCACTTACAGGGGCAGATTCCAGGCACTCTTTGGCCTCTCAGAGGCCTTGTCTTCCACAAGTATCTCAAACTAAACACAAAATAGTCTTTTTTGAGATGGAGTTTTGCTCGTCACCCAGGCTGGCATGAAGTAATGAGATCTTGGCTCACTGCAACCTCTGCCTCCCAGGTTCAAGTGATTCTCATGCCTCAGCCTCCCATGTAGCTGGGACTATAGATGTGTACCACCATGCCCAGCTAAGTTTTATATTTTTAGTAGAGATGAGGTTTCACCATGTTGACCAGGTTGGTCTTGAACTCCTGACCTCAGGTGATCCGCCTGCCTTGGCTTCCCAAAGTCCTGGGATTACAGGCGTGAGCGACCATGCCCGGGCTTAAATACAAAAGTTTTAATATTTATTGAAAAATTACTGAGAAACTTTATACTCATTTTATTCAACCTTGATAATTAAGAAAACCCCATGAGATGAGTATTATTCTCCCACTTAGCAATGAAAATATCCAGATATGGAGAATACAAGTCATTTACCAAGCTTCCCATGGTTAATCACTGGCAAACCTCATATTTAACCATCTAAGTGTAACTCCAGATGCTGGCTCTTCATTTTTCTATTGCTTCCAGCATTAGCACCTTGCCTTCTGACCCTCTCTTTTTACTCTTCCACAAGGTATTTAGAGATCCAATAATTCAAAAGTGATTGTCAGTCCTTTTTTTTAAATGTATTCTTTAATTTTCAGTTTTTTGTTTGTTTGCTTAGACAGGGCCTGGCTCTGTCACCCAGGCTGAAGTGCAGTGGCACAATCACAGCTCACTGCAACCTCAACCTTCTGTGCTCAAGTGATCCTCTCACCTTAGCTTCTCAAGTGACTGACACCCACAGACACGCGCGATCATGCCTGGCTCATTTTCTAATTTTTGTAGAGACAGGGTCTCTGTATGTTACCCAGGCTGGTCTCAAACTACTAGGCTCAAGCGATCCTCCTACCTTGGACTCCCAAAGTTTTGGGATTAGAGGCATGAGCCATGACATCTGACCTGTGTATATTTTCAAACAGAATTCTAAAACTTCTTTTGAACTTTATAAATCTTTGCATTAGTTTTTTTTTTTTTTTTTTTTTTTCTTTTCTTGAGAAAGTCTCGCTCTGTTGCCCAGGGTGGAGTGCAGTGGCACAATCTCGGCTCACTGCAGCCTCCACCTCCCGGGTTCAACAGATTCTCGTGCCTCAGCCTCCAGAGCAGCTATGGGATTACAGGCATGCACCACAATGCCCAATTTTTGTATTTTTAGGTTATAAAATTACTTTTTATCTCTAAAATTTTAATCAACCTAACATAACTCAATTGAGAGTCACCAAGGAACTAATTACTAACAAAATATTTATAATAAAATTGTCCCTTCTAGGCCGGGCGCAGTGGCTCACACATGTAATCCTAGCACTTTGGGAGGTGAGGCAGGCAGATCACGAGGTCAGGAGATCGAGACCATCCTGGCCAACATGGTGAAACCCTATCTCTACTAAAAAATACAAAAAACTAGCTGGGTGTGGTGGTGTGTGCCTGCAGTCCCAGCTACTTGGGGGGCTGAGGCAGGGGAATCGCTTGAACCTGGGAGACAAAGGTTGCAGTGAGCCAAGATCGCACCACTGCACTCCATAATGGCAACAGAGCAAGACTCTGTCTTAAAAAACAAACAAACAAACAAAAACTGTCCCTTCTGTTCACATGCTGGTCCTTTTCTCTCCCACTTCTTGCAAGGCCTTTAGATCTCCACCCCAAAACTAAGGAGGTGCTAAAGGATGTGAGAAAATGACAATCCAGAACATTTTTTGAGTGGGCTTAGGTGTTTACTGAGTAAAAACAGGATTTTGGGGGAGGGAGTAAAGGCAAAATGATGTTTCTTAGATGTTAGCTTATTTTAAAAAATTGCTTTCTGTAACCTGATCCAATAGCTATTCCATCATGTTTTTTTTTTCTTTTTTGGCAGTAGAGACAGGGGGTCTTGCTATGTTGCTCAAGCTGGTCTTGAACTGCTGGCCTTAAGCGATCCTCCTGCCTTGGCCTCCCAAAGTGCTTGGATTGCAGTGTAAGTCACTGAACCCAGCCCCACCATGCCTTTAAATGCTCAATGCACAGAACATTTAACATTGGATGTAGGCCAATAGTCCATTTCAATCAAGTTTAAAAAAAAGTAATGCAAAAGATGGAAGAATTTATTGTTGACTGTTACTTATTATGCAGTAATTTACTTTAAAATGCTTTAAATATAAACTGTGTAATATATGTGTGCTGTATAATTTAACTTCAATCTTGTTCTGAGGGTAAGTTACATACTATTTGAAGCACCCCAACCAGGTGGCTAGGCAGATGCTTTAAACACTTATCTAAATATATGCCAGAGTGTTCATCAGCATAAGTGATATTATAGTAATTTTTCATCGGTGAATGCAGCCTGAAAAGTAGGTGGTTGTCTACACTTTTAGAGGCAAAATGCATGCAATGAAGTGTAAGAATCTGACAGATCCTGCAAAATAATTACTTTTGATATTTCCCCAGGACTAGAGATCTCTTTGCTTCTGTACCTTCCCCCTCCAGGACTCCACACACATTTATGATTGTTGCCTGATCCAACCAGGCAATTAGGTTTCTTAATTCTGCTTTCAGAATATCATTGCTTCTGCTTCACTGTAAACCTTTTAGTCATGGTGTTTGTGGGGTTACTTAAGAGCAGAGAAGGAACTTTCCCAAGCTTTCCAGAAGCCCTGCTTGCTAATAAACTTGTCATGTAAGATAACTGTTTTAGATTTGCTTTTATTGTAATACATCAGGAGGTGGTAAGGTTATGTAGGAGGGAGGACACTTACAGCCTTATCTTCCTGTAATAGCTAGAGGTACCACCAAATGGCCCTTTGATTGGTGACTGAATTGGCCTAGATAGTTTGCAATGGTGTAGAAAGGAAAGTAAAAGCCCATTCACTCTCATTTCATGCTGAGGGGCATATTTGATTCCTGAGCGCCTCCACTTAATGTAGTGTGAATATTGATGACTTCTTTAAGGTCTGCCGGTCAATATAGATTTTCCCAGTGTTGGCCAAAAAGCAATCCAGCCATTGTAAAGGTCAGGGACATTCTCTGGCAGCGCTGCTCTTAACACATATAATTAAGAATTTTATACCACTTCTAGTGAAAACTTGATTACTTAGAAGGCTTTCAGTTTGCTAATAATTGCCAAAGTTTGAAAACATAAATGAAAAAGAAAAACAGCCAAAATAGACCTGCTGCTCTAAATTTTAAATAAAGCTATCCTATATGCTAAATCGACAGGAGGCTGGGAAAATGTCACTGAGTTAAATGAAGGACAATTTGAAGACTCAAGAATCAATCTGAGTTAAGTTATAACATGAGAAACCTAAAAGTAGAACTATGTCAACATTTTATTTGGTGTTTCATGCTACGTTGATTTAAACAAATAAAACAACTTTGTTGAACAGATTTCTTTTTTAATATAATGACTGTGTACATGGACAACTGAAAATAGGGAAAACCCCCAAATGAACGTTTTAACAAATTACAAGCTGTTACTAAAGACCATATGCTTGGATTAAAAAAAAAAGTCCAATAGATAAAGTCTCATTCAACCTAGCAGTTTAACCAATTTCTCTTTTAATAAAACCTGCACATTACAGTGGTATAAATTTACTTTTAACACTCCACGTAAAAACATGTACGCCCTCTTCTTCTACATTTAATAATTAGTAGTCTCTAATATGGTAAAATAAAATTGAATTTATATTAGCAAATGAAAGTGCAAGTTTATACAGCCAGGCTCAGCAGCAAAAGTGAAGAATAAGAATGAAAGGTGAAAGCTGACAGGTGCCACGCAGAACAAGGACTTCCATCAAGGGCCGTGTCCTGTGTGCCAAACACAGTCAACATTCCATCATGTTTTTCATTGCTCTTAAACGAGCAAAACCAAATTCTTTTTTATTTAAAGAAATATTAAATCTTTATTTTCCCCAACATAATTCGTGATCAGGTAAGGCAAAGATAAGTCCACCATCACTGGGGACAGCAGCAACACACAGACTTCAGAAAGAGCCCTGAATCATCAGTAACATTCTCTCATGTAACATTAGAAGGAATGCATCTAACAAATTAAATTTGTAATGTTGTCACATTGTTCTAACTTATTTGATTAGTTCATATGGAAAAACTTTATAAATACATTAAGAGGACAGTAAATTATTTTCTTGCTCTGAAAAAATAATTTTTTTTCCATATTTTAAAACATTTTAGTATACTTTTGCAAAAGGAGTTGCAAGAAAAATGTGACAGCTGTTTGCAGAATGTCCATGTACAAGTTGTATTTATAAGAACCTGGTAATCTGCCTATAATTTGCCTCTACAAATAGAGTTCTTTGCAATAATATTTAAACAAACAGGTTTAAACTCTTCCCCATTCATTCTACTTGTAGAGCAAAGAGGTACTTATTTTTCAAGTATTATATTATAAAAGATAAAATTTTTTTTTTTTGCCAATTTTACATGTGAAGCTTTTAAGACCAAAAAAATCATGCTTAGTCAGCCCGTTTCTTTTATAGCCAAATGCTCTTGTCTTTTAAAGAATGCAGAAAAATATTGATTTGCTAAGAAGGAGCACACTGGAAAAAGCCATTTGAAAGTATTGAAGAATGAGAAGTATTTCCTTTTTTCTATTGATGAAAATTATTAGAAAAGCTATCGTCTGTTGTCTTTAGTTATTTTTAATAAATCTTTTCAAAATGATGGTCAAGAGCTCTTTAGAAAACTGGAGGAGGGGATGCTCCTTTATAGCATGAAAGGAATTCCATTAATTGTAGAAATTCTCATTAAATTTCAGCTTTGGTTCTTCAGAAGAAATACTCATATAACTTCTATATGAAGAGACAGAAAAAGAACAGGTTAATATGACATCTAAAATCTTATTTCAAGAATACTATAGTAATATCTTAAGTTTTAGAAATTTACTATACTGTTATATACACTTATATAAGAATAGGCAATTTTGTTAGGATTCACAGTCTTATATTTAGGTGAATTCTGTTACTCAAAGGAAACATGTTCTCTTCTCTACATCAGCTTAGGCCATAGCCTTCATTTTTCCAAGTGGCATACAGAGATGGTACTTTTCTCGGTTAGGGGTTTAAACATTCGTTTTCTCTTGTATCCTCAGTACCCAATGCTTAGGGTTCTAAACATGTTGGAGGTTTAATAAATGTTGATAAATCATCTGGAAGTTCTTTCCCTTCCTGTAAATCTGTAACATAAGCAGGAAGCTGCACTGGGCATGTTTCCACCAACGTATCATTAGTTGGACTGTTCCCAAAAGCATAAGAATCAGAAAGTCAGACAGCCACCTTTCAAATCCTAGAAAAGTGGAGTTCATTTACTAAAGTGAAATTCTACTTCCAAGGTCAGTACACTAGAGGAGAAGAGAAGGCTGGCTTCCTTTGGATGGGTGGTTCACACTGGCTATTTCACCCCATTAAAAGTTGATTTATTACAGATTCACTGATGAAATCTAAAAGGCAAAACAATTTGCCCACAAATAATTCTATACTGTCTTCATTTGCATATCCTGAATTTGGCCAGTTCTTTTCATAGCAAGTAGAAAGAGATGCTGGTCAATACATGAAAGTCATCTGCAGGGAAGAGAAGTCAACAAAACTGAAACAGGTTTGAAGAGGCAGGGAGCTGAGATTATCCTGCAAATTCCCGAGACTGATGGGATTGAGTTGCTGAGCTGCTATGACCATTGAGTTAGTAATATTTGATATTACTCCTTATTTCTTTGGGTCCTAACTGTTCTTTTTGCACAAAGACTTCAGGTTGAGTGTGGGTCAAGGAGACATTGTATAAGATATAAAGTCACAGGCAGTTTCAACAGCAACAAAATCATTTAAGAAGGAAAGATCCTTAGACTCAGTGTGATCCCATTCAGAGAACTAGTTTCATCACCTAAATCCTAAGTATCCATCATGTCACATTTTAAAAGGACAGTAATTTATTATCCAGGTTGCCAACCCAAATAAGAGAAAAATGGTGGGAGAACATGACGGCAGTCTTCAAATATATGAAGACCTGAGAAAGACGGAAAAAACTCAAATCTTTCTCCAGTGGGCAGCACTAGGCCAGATGGTCCATAGGTTATGGGGAGGCAGCCTTGTCTTTCTACAAAGCACATTCTGACCATGTGTGATGTTGGGCAGTGGATGCTGCTCTGTGCAGGGAGGCTGACAGACACCCAGTGGGTGCTGCCAACTGGATTTCTGCAGTGACTGAGAGAATAGGAGAGGCCTTAGAAGTTGTCCAATCCAACTCAAAATTCAATCTCTATGAGCCAGGCACAATCTTTTCCACTGTGTCTTACATGATCCTTTGAAGAACAAACTGTTACCACAATCACACTGTAGAAGGCAGCAGTCCGTGTCCTCCTGATGTCAGATATTTCAGATGGCTATAGAAGGGAGTTGGAGGCAAGCTTACCTGCAGTCTGTTGTGTTTGGACACCATCTACCTGAGGCAGGGGCCCAAGTGTCCCTTCATCATCAAAGGCCAAAATCGGATTCAAAGGAATTTCTGGGCTCTCACTATTGGTGACATCTAATCTGGATGGTTTAGATCCAATGGGTAAGTTTATAATTTCTTCAAAATTTTCATTCTGAACAGATACTCCATTTTCATTTGGTTGTTTTTCCAAGTCGGGAGTGCTAAGCAATTTGAAAAATAAAAATAGAAATAAATTAGTCTTAATACTGGAAAACACATTATTAGGAAAACCAAAGTGTTATATAATAATTTTATAAATCTACAATTTAAAAAATCAGACTGATGAGTCACATCATTACTAATAAAAGTAATAAATTGTAGTATATTTTAAATTCTTACTTTAAAAAATCTAGGTCAGGCACAGTGGCTCATGCCTGTAATCTTAGAGCTTTGGGAGGCTGAGATGGGAGGACTGCTCAAAGTCAGGAGTTCAAGATCAGTCTGGGAAACATAGCAAGACCCCATCTCTACAAAAGATTAAAAAAAACTAGCTGTGTGGTGGCACACACCAGTAGTCCCAGCTACTCTGACAGCTGAGGTGGGAGGATCACCTGAGCTTAAAAGTTTGAGGTGTCAGTGAGCTATGATGACGCCATGGCATTACAGCCTGGGCTGTGGAGTAAGATCCTGTCTCTAAACAACCACAAAAAAACTTTAAATCTGTTCTTTTGTTACAAAAGTTATCAAATAAAACAATTTACCAATTACAACAGATCATCATTAATAGAAACAAATCAGCAGCAGCAGTTCTACACATTTAACGATTTCAGCTGCAGGCATTTTTACATACGTCTGATAAAGATGATGGGATTACAATTTGGAAGAAAGAGTAAATGATTTGCACAAAGTCACACAACTACTGAGCGACAGCTGGGGCTAAATGCACGATCTCTTAAACTCTGGTCTTGCGTTTTTCTCATTAAGCCATTCTGCACACTTCCTAGATATCTCCAGCCTCCTAAAGCACTTGCATAATTTCATACACAAATTTTTGAAGATCAATCTTCTTATCTTTGCCCCTTAAATCTCTGACCTCATCTGGATCCTTATGAATCCATGCTATATATCTTGGATTTATTTTTGAGATATACTTACTTGGCCCCAAATACTTAATCTTCTACACTTTGTATTAGATTGTCACGCTCTCCAACCAGACTGGCGGCCCCTTATGTTATATGCTTATTATTATGCTTTACAATGTAGCCAAATAATGCCCATGTGTCAAATGAGTGCTAAATTAATTTTACCATTTTATTTGATTGCAGCAGTACACATATATGTGCAAGCTTCATAACTTGTTCAATGCTCAACAAATTACCTGTAGTCTTAGTAATGCCAACTGCTTGGACATTATTAGCAGGTCAGTTTATCTTCTCAAATTGTAAAACAATGCTAACAACCTTTCCATTGCTTTTTTTTAAAATACTGTGCTTTTTTCACTCTATTGAAGAAATAGTTTGCTTTCTTTTTTCTTTTTTGAGAGAGGGTCTCACTCTGTTGCCCAGGCTGGAGTGCAGTAATGCAATTTCAGCTCACTACAACCTCCACCTCCTGGGTTAAAGTGGTTCTTGTGCCTCAGCGTCCCGAATAGCTGGGACTACAAGTGCACACCACCACACCTGGCTAATTTTTGTATTTTTAGCAAATACAGGGTTTCTTCGTTGGCCAGGATGGCCTCAAACTCCTGGCCTCAGTGATCTGCCCAGTGATTTGGCCTGGCCTCCCAAAGTGCTGGGATTACAGGCATGAGCCACCACATTCGGCCAAAACAGTTCACTTTCTCTACTGAGTGAGAAGTATTGATTTTGTTGAATACATTTTAAAGCATTTCTGATTTGAATATTTATATATTTTTAAAATTATTAAACCTTCTTTTCTATGGAAAAAATAAAGATGGCTGTCCTAAGTGCCTCACAAGGCACTGCAGAATACACTGAAAATATTATTTGTAAAATAACCTAAAATTTTATAGAGAAAGATCATACAGTATGATGATGCTTTTCTGCTATTTTACCAAGAAGGGAAGGCGAGGCCACTAGGCATAAGTCTGCATAAGAGTAGAGTCAGACACACGTGCACATGCATACCACCCCTCCCAGTCCCATGAGCACACGCACGCCTAACACCCGCTGTTCTAAGTGTCTGGGCTGCTACACCCCTCTTCCTGTTCTTGCCTATCACCAATAACCTTTCTGTAACCAGGGAAACAATTTTGGTTCTTAATCCAGAGAGAATTTACATAGAAGTTCTGGCCAAGGATAAAGAACAGGAACATATCTCCAAAGCCCCCTTTCCTTGGCAACCTTAACCTGTCACCTTCCAGGCCTGCGTGTGCTATCAAGTCATAATGGCAATGGCTAACCTTGGGCCTGAGCCAGAATCAGATTTCATTTTCCCCTCCCACCGCTGCCCATTCTCATGGTTGGCAATTAGATGAATAATTGTGCCACATGCACTGGATGACAAATCATGAAATGTTCAGGGGACATCGGGACTGGTAGACACTATAAAACTGAAACTGAAGTACTGGGGTTAGGGATTATGGATCCGTGGATTCATGTGTCCTCTCAGGATAAGAGCACCAGCTTTTGAATTCCCTGTCTTCAGCTACCTTCTGAAGGTTGAAGGCTGATGTAAGACTTTTGAAGATTGCACACTTTGCTCCAATCCAAAATGTGTACAGGGAGAAGCTGGGACCTTGGCAGGAATCTGTAGTCCACACAGCTTATAAAAGCCAGAAACTTATTTTTTTCTTGATATTTATTAATTATCTTAAGTAACTTTTAAATTAAAAGGGATACATCTCTTCCTGTGTGAACAACAGGGGCTTGGGAATGTTACTTTTCCTTTAGGCCAAACTAGGAGCAATGATGAACTCAAGATTTGGAGGAAAAAGACGGGGTCAAACACTAAAATTACCAAAAACTCCTTATTTAAAAAAAAGGGGAACAATCTACGAAGAGACAGCTCCTCTAGGGCTATGAACAAACACAAAATGTCTTCTGGGGTATAGGAGAGTAAGGCAGTAGCTGTATAGGCAGCAGAGCTTCTTAGCCTGTGGACTAGAGATTCTCAGCTGGGTGTGGAAGAACATCTCAGAATGACCTGAGAAACTGCAGATAACTTCCTCTGTTCCCATTCCGATATTCACCCTGTCCTCTCCTGACTTGTACTCACATGGATCTGTATCCTTTCTTTCCTCTTCCAAAGCAAGTTTCCTAATCAAGAACAAAGACTTTCCTCAATTCTGTGGGAGCATCCCCCCACAAGTACTCTCTCTCAAGAGCCAAACATGGCTTTTGAGCAAGAATGATCTGCTCAAGGGCATATATAATATTCACATATTTCAGAAAGATACATTTCAAGTATTTTATAAACTTCGAATATTTTATATAGGAAAATGTATATATTCATTAATAAAATTTTATAAAATCCATGTATGTTATGAATATATATTCGTGTATTTGTTAGTTTGAGACAGGTTCTCACTCTGTTGCCCAAGCTGGAGAGCAGTGGTGCGATCACGGCTTACTGCAGCTTCAATTCCCTAGGCTCAGGCGATCCTCCCAAGTATCCAGGACTACAGATGCATGCCACTGCCCTCGGCTAATATTTGTATTTTTTGTAGAGACGGAATCTCGCCATGTTGCCAGCTGGTCTTGAATTCCTGGGCTCAAGCCATCTGCTTGCCTAGATCTGCTAAAGTGCTGGGATTACAGGCGTGAGCCACCACACTTGGCATATTCACATATCTCTTTACATCTTTAAATGCTGGCCAGAATTGTGATAACTCAAACTCTTCCATTCTAACTAATGTCACTGGGGAACCTGTTAAGAGGAAAGGAGATGGGCAAGAAAAATGGCTTTGGGGCAAAGGAGGCGTCTCACTCACGAGTAAGGTGAGGAGTAGGATTCAGGATGCTTCTGGTACAGGGCTGTTCTATAATGAAGGGTCTCAGTCCCCGCTGCTAGGAAAAGTAATGTTAGGGGATCGCCATCCTCCTGGGGTGCTGCTAGACAGTTTGATGATGTATATCAAGGTGGAGAGGGGAAAATGTAATTTAATTGACAGCATTCATTTATTTACCAATGCATTAGGTACTAAAGACATTAGGAGAAGTGATACTTCTCTCTCAACCTCAACTAAAAGATGGTCATTCTGAGCAGTGGAGTTTTCTAGTAAAAACAAATTCTACCACTATACTTGCATGATCTGTCATGTTGGATTTTCACAGAGTATCACCCACAGCATGTTCTTTGAGAGCGTCTCTGAGCATTTCCATTGATCAGTGCTTTAATTCACAGTGGGCAAGCTGGAGGGATCTATAACTCTTCTTGAGGTGCAGAGTAGGGTATTCAATAAAGATGCTGACTGATCACAAGGATCAGGAAATGCTTCACTAAAAATAATGCACTGAGATGAAAACCAAAGATTTTATAAGCATTTTAAGGTTGATTTGAAACTAGGAGTGAAAGGAAATATTCATGGATGTGATTTGTCATTTAAAGTTTTTAACAGGATTTCAGATGTAAAACTGTTTAAAAACTTGAGTTTCCATTGCATCAAAGGGAATGTTTATTCATGAATGGGAAGCTTTGGGGATGGATATTAAAGACAAGAATAGGCTGGGTGCGGTGGCTTGCATCGTAGTCCAGCTACTCAGGAGGCTGGGGTAGGAGGATCACTTGAGCCGGGAGGTAGAGGCTGCAGTGAGCCATGCTCACACCACTGCACTCCAGGCTTGGTGACAGAGCAAGACCCTGTCTTATAAAATAAAATAAAAATAAAATAAAGTTAAGAATAAGCAAGCCCTTCTCTAAATGGAAGAGTGTAAGTGGCAGAGAGCCCCAGGGATCAGTGCTAGGATTAGTTTTATAATAATCGGAAGACAAGCAGGATAAAATTTAAGTATGCAGATAATGTTTATTCTTAGAAATGTAAGTCATAAAAATTGTCCCTCAAGAACAAAGGGAAAATCATTAAATGAGTGACAAGGTAGGCAGTCTGTAAAAGCAGCGGGTTTAGAAAACTGTCAGCTGAGCCATCCTTAAAAGATGGAGAACAATCAGTCACAATGCAGGTTAAGACATTTTGGAATCACTGCAAACTGTTCCTTGGTGATACTGACGCCTTGTGTTTTGATGGTTAAAAAAAAGCCAA